TTTAATTAACGTATTTATTTTATTCCAGTTTTATAGCTAATTTATTTTTTCTAGTTTTGAATTATTGCAAATTATTTTAAAATATTGCGAAAATTTTTTTGTAATATAGCGTAATATATTTCATAATATTCCATAATTAAAAATTGCGAAGTATTTCACGTCGATCATAATTATTGCAGAATTTTTCGGTCCATAATAACTTACGTAAGATTACGTTTATATAATTTGCTGATATACGTAACTGCTAGCATTATACAAAAATTCTCTTGTCTAGTACAAATCTTTCAGATAATCTTTGTGAAGCTGGCGATTCAAGGCTTGAAAATCTTATTAGGTCACTAAATACTCTCTGTCTTCCAAATTCAATAGAAACTGATGAATTCTTAAATTTTAATGGTGAGAAGATTGTTTACGAAGTTTTCCCAGAGGATCAAATCATTAAGGAGCTAGCTTATGTGTTCAGAAATGATGAAAGTGTTGAAGTTATGGATGAAGGAAATACTGAGGTAATGGATGAAGAGGAAGACGATAGTGTAGAACCTGCAGTTGTTAGTGGTAGTTCGGCATTGAATAGCTTGAAAAATGTTTGGATGTTTTTACTTTAGCAAAAAGGCTCGGGTGATCAATTAAAATCAATTAATTTTCTTGAGAAATTTATTAGTAAAATGATATCAAGTTCTGCTCAGCAAACTCACATAGATGAATATTTTAAGACATAAGGATTGAGTAGATTTTTTTTATTAATTTGTAAATAGGTAAAGAAAAATCTTCTCTATTTTCTACAACTTAATGTATGCGAAAAATTGATGGTAATTATAAACAACTCAGCAGTATCGCAACAATATCGTGGGCCGGCGGGTTATTTATGAAAATTAAATAACATTTGGCATTTTTTTTATTAAATTTACATTTTTTCTTTTTTTAAAAAAAAAAAACATTTAAGGATTGTTTTTTTTAAAAAAAATTCTTTAAAATTTTTTTTTCAATTTTAAGTATATAAAAAAAGTTGATTTTATTACGCTATACAGTATTAAAGAAATTATGCAATGGAATACATGAATTTATTCCATATTTTTTACACAAGTCGCATAAATAATTTGTGCATTCAGCAGATAAATGTTTTAAAAAGTTTATAAATTTTATATGCATATGCTCCTGATTTTAGAATTTCAAAACGTAAAAAAAATTTTTTAAACTCACATTTATTTTCGAAATAAGTTATAGCTGTTTTTATCTGAGATACCTGAAAAAAATTAGTCGAATGAAAATTTAAAAATTTTTTTATTACTGTAAATATATACGTACAGTACAGTTGCGATGCAAGATATTTTTTGATTATATTTATAATTTGGTATGATCGGTATATTTTTATACATATTATATATCATATTTCTGAAATTATGCACGTACAGTAAAATATAAAGTATCAATTTATAAAATTTTTATGCCAAAATCACAAAATTAATCAAATCAGCTAAAAATCATTCTGCTAAATTTTTCAAGTATCTCAGGATTCGTGAAAATAGCGAAATCTCAAATTATTTTAATTAGCATGCCAATAAGCGGGGTTCAATATTAAATTAAAAATTATTTTGATTAGATAATCATAAATCTGTGTAATATAATCTGTAATTCCCTAAGTGCATACCCTCTCTAAGTGCACATTTATAGTCGGTCCCCGAGCGTACACTTAGGGAGGTCTGACTGTATTTGGTATATGCTTCTTTTGGCACCAAATAAGAAAAGAATAAAGATTTATACAAATAGTGTATTGGCAATAGGTTTTATAGAAGGGAGAAAACTTAAAAAAACAATACGGAAAATTTCAAAAAGGAAAATCATAGTCTAGTAAGTAGTATAGTTAATTTAGTTAAGATTAAAGAAATACAGCTAGAATTAGTGAAAGTTAAAGATCATAGCGAGAATAGGTAGAATAGTTTAGCAGATAGTTTAGCAAAATTAGGTACCAAAATAGAAAAAATAGAAAATAATGATATTATCCCTTAAACCGTCCAGCAGCTAAATATACCCGCTAGAATATTTTTTTTTATATTTTTTTATAATTGCTTA